AAAAAAAAAAAAAAAAAAAAGCATAAACCCAGGAAAAAAACCCAGTGTGAAACTAATTTTTCAATACGGTTACTTGTAAACTGCTCCCATGGAAAATTTATCTAGACACACACAAAAAGCAGCAGCCCTAAGCAAAGACTCACTAACACCCTCAAAAGGATTTCTGGGATTTGTATCATTTTGCACAGGTAAAAGTAATGAACACAGACATTCTGGGTCCAATAAAAGCACATTAAACCATACTGTTGTGCTTAACTTGGCCTTAATCTTTTGACAGCTATCATGTGAGCTTGATTCATTAAGAAGCTAAATAAATTATCTAAGGCCCACTGATTGCACTTTGCTACAACGTAGAGAGAGACGAAATAATTTTCAAGTCCAGAAGTAGTCTTTTTTTAAAGATTTTATTTTTAAGTAATCTCGGGGTGCCCGGGTGGCTCAGTTGGTTAAGCGCCCGACTCTCGATTTCAGCTCAGGTCATGATCTCGTGGTTCGTGGCATCGAGCCTCACGTCAGCGCAGAGCCTGCTTGGGGTTCTGTCTCTCCTCTCTCTCTCTGCTCCTCCCTCGGCTCGTGCTTGCTCTCTCAAAATAAATACATAAATAAATAAACTTACAAAGAAAAAAAAGAATTTATTTTCAAGTAATCTCTTGAATTTTAACCCAGTGCAGAGCTTGAACTCACAACCCCAAGATCAAGAGTCGCGTGCTCCACCGTCGGAGCCTGCCAGGCTCCCCAAGTCCAAAGGTGCCCTGAGATGAGGAATTTTCCAGCACAGCAGCTCACCCATTGAAGACGGGCATTTAAAAAGAGTACCGTAACTAAAAATCTTTTAAATGAAAGAGTCACGTGGTATCGATTCTTTGCACATGCCAAGGAATTAACCTGAAAACAATATCCACATCACTCGGGCCAAACATCTTTTGAGCAGTACTTTTCATCAGCCTAACAGAGCGGCTCATTGCAACTCATTTTACTTTTTGCTCTCTCGTATGTTCTCCTTAGTAGCACAAGTCAGGGAATAACGGCGAGGAGACAGAGCTTACGGGGTCTTCTCCATCCCCATCCCCTGTGATGAAAGTCACGCTGCCTCCACGCTTCGTTTTCTGCCACCGTGGCTGGGAAAGCGCTCACTCAGCACCTTGATAGCTCCTGACGAGCCCTTCACACAGCATCTGCAGAAAACATCTAAACCCGAACTGGCTTCCTCTGAATTTTTGCTCACGTCTGAACTCTCTCTCCCGTCCTCAGATAGTATTTAATTAAGGAAACTCCCGTCCAAATATGTATTACGGTCACTGTTTCATTCAGAGAAAGACTACTGTTACTTTTTCTGAAGGTTTGATTTATTTTTGAGAGAGAGAGTGAGGAAGCACAGGGGAGACAGAGAGGGAGACAGAGGATCTGAAGCGGGCTCTGCACTGACAGGAGAGAGCCCGATGCGGGGCCCGGACCCACGAATGAGATCATGAGCCGGGCTGAAGTCAGATGCCTAGTCAACTGGGCCACCCAGGCGCCCCTAATTCTGTTACCTTTTTAAAGAAAGCATTCCAGGATCGGCGCTACGTAGCTCTGTGACTATCCACACCAGTAACTCCCTTAGCCCAACATGAGAACGGCCCAACTGCATTTGCTGCTATGAAGGGCACCGAGGAGAGGTCCACTCCACAGGAGTGTTCCCACCCTCCAAGCTGCTGACCTCGGAAAACTGTAGACAGAACCCTAAACAGTCCTAACTGCCCCTCTCCTAATAATCGGCTCGGATCCTAACCACAGCACACACTATTTCTTCCAGAAGTTACTTTTACTCTAAAACAAACTTTTAGTTTTATGGGGTGCTCCCTTGCTCCATCAGGCCGACGTGGCACCACTGACACATGTTTTGGCCACCCACAAAAATGTGCTCCCCAGATGTTATCAAAGAGTTTCATACGTGTAAAGTTTATTCCCTAGGTTTTCCAATCTGGAATCGAAACTGATCGTTAAAGTAGACGTGACTCTCTCCTGTGCTCTCTGATTTTATCTCCGCCGCTGCGATTGAAGACAGGGGTGAAGTTCAACGAGAGAGAAAACTGGTCCATGTACAGAGACGCGGAACTGACAGACCAGATGTCCCATCAACCTCAGCAAGAGCACCAAAGGGAGCTCAAACCGGTTCTACCGGCAGAGAGGAGTGCTTACTAATGAATGTTCCCGGTAAGACTGGTTTCAAATCTTTTGGCTACGAAATACACCTAACGGCCTCGAGGATCTGGACGGAAGACTGCCCCCACGTGCCTCACTATTGCATCAGTAAAACTGCCCCAACCGTTTTTCTTTATTTATTTACTTGCATATGTCATTACTGACCATTAGGGGCCTTTCTTCTTCTTCATTGTCATCATAAGAAGAATAGAAATAGTTGCTTGACCACTCCTCAGGGTCTTCAGAAATTTCTGCAGGTGATGACATCTGGGTCCAAACTAGAAGAAAAACATGGAGGGGGGGCAGTTCCTTAATGGTGCTGGTCTAACACAGGGAGTGAAGTAAAACTAACTGCAGTCATCAAGGCTATAACCGTCAATGGCCCAGAACAGTATCTTTATATAATAACACCTCCAATTAGACTGTACTAGTTTAGAATTTCTGATTTTCAGAAAGGGCCTGGAATGTCATATACTTCTGTTACTTCCTAGGATGGTTGCAAGTTGGAGCTGGTGGGAGAATTATTAAAACTAATAAGTTAAATAACATTCCAGAGAATATTGACCCTTTCAATATAGAGAATATTATAGAGAAGAGAATATAATCCCTGCCAAAGTTGTTTTCTATGGAATTGCTATTGGTCCTACTCAAACAGCACTTACAACATCCTACCTAATAATATTATCTCTGACCTGTCTTACTTCCTTACTAGGCAAAGACCGTGGGTCATACATTATATATCCGTAAGAGTCCTGCGTGTAAGAGGTGCTTAATTCATAAAATATATCAGGGGCGCCTGGGTGGTGCAGTTGGTTAAGTGTCCGACTTTGGCTCAGGTCATGATCTCACAGTTCGTGAGTTCGAGCCCCGCGTCAGGCTCTGTGCTGACAGCTCGGAGCCTGGAGCGTGCTTCGGATTCTGTGTCTCCCTCTCTCTCTCTACCCCTCCCCCACTCATGAGCGCGCTCTGTCTCTCTCTCTCAAAAATAAATATACATTAAAAAAAAATTAAAGGGGCGCCTGGGTGGCTCAGTTGGTTAAGCATCCAACTTAGGCTCAGGTCATGATCTCGTGGTTTGTGAGCTCGAGCCCGCATCGGGCTCTGTGCTGACAGCATAGAGCCTGCTTCCGATCCTCTGTCCCTCTCTGTCTCTGCCCCTCCCCAGCTCTCACTGTCTCTCTCAAAAAAATAAATAAAATAAATAAAAACATTAAAAAATAAAATAAAAATATATTGAATTGATACAGATTAAATAATCTCATACAGGCAGAGAACTAACAGAATCTCATCTTGGCCACACTAAACTATTCATGTTATCTTGGAAAAATCACGTCAAATTTCTCTAACTTGGTTTCCTCATCTGGCAAATGAAGGCAACGGTACCAGGCCCTCATCCTGACTGTTCAAGGGGCCGCAGCATAGATGACCTGAAGGAAGTGACTTTCAGTTGAACAAGGCTGTCATTGCTTGTTTCTCTTCAACTAGGAGAGAACTCGTCCGGACTGAGGACCTTCTTATTTACGTATCAAGTATCAGACATTTGCTAAGCATTTCTCTTAAGCATTTTTCTAGAAAAGTCTATGCTGTTTATCCCAGAGTTGTATAGATGACCCTGCCAGGTGCTTCTACAGCAATCTATTATATTTCTCTATTATAACACAGTAATTGCTTCTTAAATGATTGTTCTACCCTCCTGGCTTCATAGGGATGGCAACTGAGTGTATCTTTTTGTTTGTTTGTTTTTTAAACTAGGTTTCACACCCAGTGCAGGGCCCAGTGTGGGTCTTGAACTCACATCCCTGAGATCAAGACCTGAGCTGAGATCAAGAATCAGAGGCTTAACCGAATGAACTACCCGGGTGCCCCACAACTGAGTGCATCTTAAACAGACTGTATGCCCAAAGCTTTGCACAATTCCTGGCACACAGCCCGGGTTATAGTTGTTGAATTAACCAACTTGTTTGAAATCAGCTTAAATGACACAATTTGCAAAAAAATAAGTAAAGATTCCAGCTGTAAATGACTCTTCTCTATTCATTAAAGCTATGGTGAGTGAAGTGTGCATTCCTCGAAGCCAGGAGATGTTTCACTCATCTCTGTACTCAGTGGGTTAAGCGTCGGACTTCGGCTCGGGTCGTGATCTCACGGTTTGTGGGTTCGAGCCCCGCGTCGGGCTCTGGGCTGATGGCTCAGAGCCTGGAGCCTGCTTCCGATTCTGCGTCTCCCTCTCTCTCTGCCCCTCCCCTACTCGTGCTCTCTCTGTCTCCTCTCTCTCAAAAATAAATACACATTAGAAAAAATTAAAAAAAAAAAAAAAGAAGAACCACATAGAGAACATGTTAAATCACACATGGCTGGGTCTCACTCCCAGAGTTTCTGACTAAGAAGGTCTGGGGCAGACCCAGAGAGTCTGTCTTCCTTAAAAGTTCCCACGTGATGCTGATGCTACTGGTCCAGGCACAGCTCTGACACCCAAGCGGCAGGGCCCGCCAGTGTTATCTTGCACGCGGAAAACAAAAGGACCTTATGAAAATGGGTTAATTTTGCTTTCTCTATACTAAGGTAGGGGACAGGAAGATTTTCCAAATTAACAACGGGAGGAAACACTGTGCACAGCCATGAGTCTTACCTTCCCACGGCCACTATGCATACCTGTGTTCGCTTCGGCCTGAACCAGTGGGACGGTCTCCCGGACGTCCACCACAGCGCTGCTGTGTTCTGATTCAGTCTCCTCGGCACCCATAAAGGATCCGTGTTGCCTTCTGAGACAGTAAGTGTGTAAAAACAAGTGAGCTTTTATATGCTTTAAGAGTCACAAGAAATTAAAGATGGATGTTTTCCCACTGATCTTGTGCGTTAGGAACATGCTCTAAGAATCATTCAAACCCAGCTGACTGCCCCCTGAATTTCAGCCCGTGGAATGATAGTAATATCAGAAAAGCTGATCCAAGCCAGCAGCATCTCTCTTTAACACAGAAGGAAAAATGTACTCCCTTCAGGGCCCACGACAGGTATATTGTTTAAAATTCTTATCGTGTGCTGTATTATATGATTGAAATTTGCTGAGAGGTAGACCTTTTTTTTTAATAATTTTTTTAAAGTTTATCTATTTATTTTGAGAGAGAGAGAGAGAGAGAGAGAGAAAGATTGATTGATTGAGAATCCCCAGCAGGCTCCATGCCGCCAGCACAGAGCCTGACAACACGGGGCTCGAACTCAAGAACCGTGAGATCATGACCTGAGCCGAAATCAAGAGCAAGATGCTTAACCGACTGAGCCACCCAGGCGCCCCTGCTAAGAGGTGGACTTTAATGCTCTCATGACACACACAAAAGGATGGTTGGGATTAATATTTCACAACGTGTATGTATATCAAGCCAAGTTTTAAATATATATCGTTTTTAATTGTCGACTATAATTCAATACAGTTGGGAAAATGGAAACAAAAAAGTCCCATAAAAGGAGGAATTTATTGGCTCTTGTAACTGAAAGTCTAAGGATTAACACTGGACACATATGGATCCAGGAGCTTAAATAATGTCATCAGGAATCTTTTCTATTTCAGCATGGCTCTTCCTCTGTGCAGCAGTGACTGCCGGTCCTTTGTTACTCTTACAACTCTCTTTCTCCAATCAGATTGAAGGTGACCAAAAATATTTTGAACAGAAAGCCACGAGTGCAGCCATTGTTTGCCAACACGCTACTCCCTCCAGGATATACTGAGGACAAAGCATCTGGAATCATGTTTAAAAATTAGCCCAGGGGCGTCTGCATGCCTCCGTCAGTTAAGCATCTCACTCTTAATTTCGGCTCGGGTCACGATCTCACGATGGTGGGATCAAGCCCTGCGTCGGCCTCTGTGCCGGGTGTGGAACCAGATTGAGATTCTCCCTCTCTCTTCCTCCTCGTCCTCCCCTCCTGTGCTCGTGTGCGCACACACATTCTCTCTCTCAATAAACAAACAGGTAGATAGATAGATGAACATCCTCTCAATAAAGAGGTAGATGGATAGATGGAAAGAAAGAATAAAATAAAATAAAAATTAGCCCAAACTCTGGGGCGCCTGGGTGGCTCAGTCGGTTAAGCGTCCGACTTCAGCTCAGATCATGATCTCACAGTTACTGAGTTTGAACCCCACGTCAGGCTCTGTGCTGACAGCTCAGAGCCTGGAGCCTGCTTCGGATTCTGTCTCTCTCTCTCTCTCTCTGCTCCTCCCCCACTCATGCTTTCAATCTCTCTCTCCTTCAAAAATAAAGAAACATTTAAAAAAATTAGCCCAAACTCTCATATTATTTTTAACATCCAGAGAAACAATAGGATAATATTAAGGACCATTAGGCTCCACGTATAAGGATAGAGCTGAAAAGATGATGTATTTGTGGAATTTGATGAGTTACTCCTAAAAGAGAGGGTAGTTTATGTCAGAGATACTTTATAATAACATTGTCTCGTGGACATACAGAAAACAGAAGACGGCAGGAGTGATAATTTCTTAAAGAATAATCACTTACGCATCAATCTGCTGAGTAGGAAGCTGATCCTGTTGTGTTAACTGATTGTGTTGCTTTCGTTTTTTAACTGTGAAAGAAAACAAAGCTTATGGGAGCACCATTCACAAGCCGCACTTCTTCCATGAATCATGCACACGCATGCACGTACATGTACACACACACACACACACACACACACACACACACACACCCTATTCCCATTAGAATTAACCTTCACAGACCGGAAATAACCAGGGGAAAAGGCCGGTCTGGATGTGAAATATGGAAAAGGACTGAACTACGTAGTATTTTATCAAGAAATTCAAGTTTATAACTGTAACCATCACCCTGCGAACATTACTTGAGGTCCCTGGCAGAGTTCACTCATGGGAAGGACCTAGAGTTAATACAGTTAGTTTGCTGTGTTACTTCTCAAGCAGTGGAGTTCACTTGCCAGTATAAAGTTCATTCACCAAGAGAGTTCAAACAACCCCTTGAACCTTGGTCTTCTACTAATTAGTTTAACAAACCGTTTCACTATAAATAGTATAAAGTAAATATCAGCCCCATTCCCGGTACAAATTATCCCAAAACAGGAGTCAATGAGCTGTTACTGTACTTCTTGTTCTGAAGAATGCAAGCTTGAAATTACCTGTCATAAGTTCCTGTTGCTTCAACAAAATACTTCTTATCTCTTTTAACCATGTCATTTTCACATCGACATTCGGAGCCTAAAGATTTTCAAAAGGGAGGAGGAGAGGACAGGTTTCCTTTGAAAAAGAACGCTTCACAACAAAACAAATGTAACTAAGTATATCACACATGATCTACATCCCAAACCACCAAATTCAAACTCTACCATTTGATTCTTAAAACTTCTAAGAAGTAGGTAGCCATCAGATGAGATGAGATCGTCAAAACCCTTTTGAAACCGCCCTTAAAAAAATAATGTTCAGGTAAAAAAAAAAAAAATAATGCTCAGAGAAAAAGCACAATAGAATCTAACTTATTTTTCCTTTGTAGGAGGGTCCTTTTAAAAATATAAACGTTGACGGGAACCCTCTTGCCCTGTTGGTGGGAATGCAAACTGGGGCAGC